CGGCAAGCTGAGAGGCGCGCAGCAGCTGCCAGCACCTTGGCACGAGCGCGGCTTTTTAAGGCCCCACGCCCACGCCGCGGATAACCAGCCCCAACGCGCCCAACGGCTTGGAGCGGGTCCCGGGGACGGTGGCCGGAATCGGGTCGTCGCCGGCCGGAAAACGGGTCATCGATGGCGGCCTTACTTCGGGCCATGAGGCCCCCCACGTTAGTCCGAGTGTAGCAGCAGCTCCCAAATCCCCCGCGGCAGGCCTATGGGCGCCAGCCAGCGCGCCCCATGGCCGGTCGGGGGTCACCCCCCTAAAGAGCTATAAGTGTTATTGCAGCTCTGGCAGGGGTAGACACTACTAGGTCCCAGCTGTCACCCCCCCTCTAAAAAATTCATTTCTTGGTATTTTGAGCTGAAATTTTGCACATAGGTTGGCAAAAATCCAATCCACCTCCAGAAATAATCCCAGAATTTTTCGGGTCCGGAAAGTATTTTTTTTTATTTTCCTACCATTAAAAATCAAGGAAATACGCAAAAATAGGAACCGGCCCGGAATGACCCCAAATTCGGCTGGCAGCCTCACAAAAATATGGCTGATTTTACTGGATTGATTTCATGTGGAAAGCACAACGTTTTCTTGGCGGAATGCGGGAAAACCAGCAGCTCGCATGCCGCGGCCAGCGACGTCGGGCTGGCCCCAGCAGCGCCTAGCCTCTCCCGCGCGGGGGGCAGGCAAGAGTGCAGGGGGCCAGGGCCCGAAGGCAGCCCCCCCGCAGGCAAGATAGCAAGCCAGCAGGGGCTGTCCCCGCGTCAGCCCCCGTTGCCGTGAGCCTACCCCCTAGACGAATTTTCCTGCCTGGCCTGGCCAGCCCAGCGTCCAGCCCATGTTCGTCAAAAAATCTGCGCTGCCGATTTTCCGTGACGGGCACAAATCTGCGCTGCCGATTTTCCGCGGCGGGCACAAATCTGCGCTGCCGATTTTCCGTGACGGGCACAAATCTGCGCTGCCGATTTTCCGCGGCGGGCACAAATCTGCGCTGCCGATTTTCCGTGACGGGCACAAATCTGCGCTGCCGATTTTCCGTGACGGGCCTCCAGCGGCACAAATCCGCGCTGCCGATTTCTCCCACTGTTGGCATCGCTGCCGCAGCCCCTGCCCCAGCGTGTGCCCAGCCTCTCCCGCGCGGGGGGCAGGCAAGAGCGCAGGGCCCGAAGGCAGCCCCCCCCCGCAGGCAAGATAGCAAGCCAGCAGGGGCTGTCCCCGCGTCAGCCCCCGTTGCGCAGCACAGCATGGCTGCGTGGGAATCATTGCCGCGCGCGCGCGCGCCCAAGCGCCCAAGGGCCCCCAAGGGCCCCAGGCCCTCAGGCCCCAGGCCCCCAGGCCCCAGCGCCCCAGCGCCAAGCGCGGGCGCGGGCGCGGGCGCGGGCGGGCGCGCGCGCGCGCGCGCGTGTGTGATTTTTATAGGGACGCTGGCCGGAATCGGGTCGTCGCCGGCCGGAAAACGGGTCATCGATGGCGGCGTTACTTCGGGCCGTGAGGCCCCCCACGTTAGTCCTAGCATAGCGGCAGCTCGCAAATCCCCCGCGGCAGGCCTATGGGCGCCAGCCAGCGCGCCCCATGGCCAGTCGGGGGGCACCCCCCTAAAGAGCTATAAGTGTTATTGCAGCTCTGGCAGGGGTAGACACTACTAGGTCCCAGCTGTCACCCCCCCTCTAAAAAATTCATTTCTTAGTATTTTGAGCTGAAATTTTGCACATAGGTTGGCAATAATCCAATCCACCTCCAGAAATAATCCCGGATTTTTTCGTGGCCGGGAAGTATTTTTGTTTATTTTCCTACCGTTAAAAATCAAGGAAATACGCAAAAATAGTGACCAGCCCGGAATGACCCCAAATTCAGCTGGCAGCCTCACAAAAATATGGCTGGTTTTACTGGATTGATTTCATGTGGGAAGCACGACGTTTTCTTGGCGGAATGCGGGAAAACCGGCAGCTCGCATGCCGCGGCCAACGGAGGAGCCCCGGGAAAGCTCTTGCTTTCACGGTCTTCGCCTCCCCTCACCACCATGGCAGGCCTCTAATCCCCCCATCAGCAGTTGTAGCCGATAGGGCAGCGATTTGAATGACGCCGCCGGGTAATCGCACCCGGCCATCCCGGGGAGGAAGAGATCTCTTCTTCTAAGATAGCGAACAACACATCGGGAGTTATGTTGATAGGGCAGAGAATTGAATGACTCGTTGCGGGCAGCCGGGTCATATGCAGTCCGTCCATCCAGACTCATCGTCAGCACCTGCTGCCGATTGTGCCGACGTTGCCGATTCTGCCGACTTTGCCGATTTCGTCGGCGCTGCCGATTCCAGCACTGCCTCCTGTGTCCGAACAGCCCCTGTTTCGTCAGCGCATCCCCTCGATGAATTTTCCTGCCTGGCCTGGCCAGCCCAGCGTCCAGCCCATGTTCGTCAAAAAATCTGCGCTGGCCGATTTTCCCCGACGGGCCTCCAGCTGCACAAA